GGCAGTTTCAGATCAGCGGGGGGGGGTGCCCCTTTCAAATAATACTGGTGCGGAGGGGGCGAGGGGTACATAGCTTTGTTCAACACGGCGCCCCCCCCGTCGCGTAAGCTACACGCATGCACATGACACTGCGTGCCGTGTGGACCCACGCTGCGTGCCTGCTGTCTGCATGCACGTGAACCATGTCTTTACCCCTTGAGATATTGAAGGAGCTCAATCAACTGGCAAAGATTAGTCAAAGAGGTGTCATTCTTGATCGACACTTCGAGGCCATCAAAGAACATGTCATTGCTGGCAACTGCCTCAAGAGGGCAGACTGGGAGGCCATGGAGGTGACGTGGGGGCTGAATACCAGTGGTGTCTTCGGGCCGGAAGAGTGGACCAACCAGATTGATGGGCAAATCCGGGGTATCATCAGCAGCGCTCGCCTATCGTTGTCGTCACAGCAAAGTGCTGGCGCACGAGGTGCACCGTCTACATCGCAGAGACGGCCACAGCCTCCAGCAGCAGCGGCAGCGGATCGCCGGACTGCTGTGGATCGGGGGAAGGAAAGCAAAAAGAGAGCCGCCGAAGGCACCTTGGGGCGGCAACATCATGAACGCATTCGCTATCGGCAGCGGGACGCCGGTGAGTTGTCCTTCTGACAAAGTACGAACTCTGTACATCTCTACATACATGCGGATTGTACTGTAGCCATTTTCTTGTCTCATCCCTCCCACGTTCTGGTGATTGCTGCAGGTTTTTTTCGTTTGATCTCTACAACCCGTTCGCCCACGATTTAGAGGCAACAACCTTATGATTGAATATGTACGAACGTTGTTCTTTAACGCACACCAGAGCCTTGTTCGTGCTGTTGTTCTCCCCACGTCTGATTTTGTACGCATGTATACGGGCCCTAACCCATCTTGCAATAACCCTCGCTGTGGTGATCGAAGATTCGAACCCAGCTTGCCCTACACCACGTCCGAATGCCAGCAGTCTTCTTGCTCTTTTCAAGGTCGACCGCGCCACATCAACAGCACTTTGATGACGGACTCCACTAATAACTCTCGTTGAAAAAGAACACCTATGTGAACGACGATTCCGCTCTCCTTTCTCCGTGCCGAACAGATTGTGCGGACTCGCGGTGGTGTCGAAAGGCTTGTATCCAGTGTCAACTTCCCATCGCCGGCCCCGGAACCCCGCGTACCTTGCCAACACTGCTACATGACCTTCGTGAATCTGCAAGGCCTCGGTATCCACGTGAAAACCATGCACAGCAGTGCAAACATGTTAGACGGCGTGCGGCTGCAGCGAATGTTGGGAAAGAACACGAAAGGGGATGTCCTGCCCTGGGAACGCGCCGGGCCTGGGCGTTGTTGGCACGTGAAGATCGATGGAACCACGGGGGCGGCTTCGTTCGTCCTCCAGCGGAAGCACCTGCCCCACATCAACTTGGAAAGCGACGGCTTCACCGCCGTCAAATCCAAGGAGACTCGTGGCGCTGCTAAGCGCACGCGGTACGACTTTCGGTTCAAAGCCCACGTGGTCAACCAACTGCGAATCCTCCAGGAAGACCCCAAAGCCCTACAATATACGAGGCCGAACATCTCACCCCCCAGCAGTACCTGGAAACGTACATGAAAATCGACCACACCCTTATCAGCAAGTGGGCCAAGGACGAGGACAAGATCGTGAGGTGTGCGGCACAAGACGTGATGAAGACGCTACTCGCGAGACAGCAGCCAAAACGGTGGTTTCCTCAGGCAGAGAAGGAGCTCTACAAGCGTTTCTTGGGTCGTCGCAAGAGGAAGCTGAAGGTGTCGACCCTTTGGCTCACCATCACGTACCGCAAGCTGCTGCAGGAGATGTACCCTACCGATGACCGGGCGGCAGCGTTTCGCCCGTCCTTCAGGTGGATGCAAAAGTGGGCCAAGAGACACAGTCTTTCACACCGGCGCCGGAGCAACTTGAAGACCAAGTCTGTCGAGGAACGCCTGCCGGAGATCCGGCGGTTCCACAGGAAATTTCGAAAGCTGCTCAAGGAGCCGGTGCGACGCAGGGGGTTCGTCTTCCCTGAGGCTGCGCCGCTGTCGACGAGTGGGGCGGAAGAGACCAGGCTAGAAGAGCATGGCATGGGCAGTTCCAGCTGAAAGAACGCTTGGACGTGGACCAGGTGCCTTGCCGCTTGTGACCGGGCTGCTGACCACGTGGGACCAACGAGGCGCGAAGCGTGTAGCCATCAGTCAGCCGTTTGCTGGTCTGGAGAAAAGGCAGCGCACCATGCAAGTCATCTTTGGGCCGGGTAAGAGGCTCATGCGCATTTCTGTCATTTTCCGAGGCACGGGGAAGCGGATCTCGCCGGTGGAAAAGGCCGCTTACCACAAGAACGTGGACGTGTTTTTCCAGCAGAACGCGTGGGCGGACCAGAACTTCTGCATGGAGTGGGCCAGGAAGTCCTGCCGCCCGAGCTTGATGCGCGGGAGGAGTCAGCTCCCGCGTGAAAGGACGCTTCTTCTCATGGACAACTTGCACGCGCAGACGACGGATGAGTTTAAGGAGTATCTGTCGAAGGAATGCAACACGCTCGCCTGGTATTTTCCGGCCAACACCACAGACGAGCTGCAGCCCGTGGATGCAGGAGCCGGACGCATGCTGAAGGTCGAGGTTGGGAAGCAACTGGACATTTGGCTCGAGCAGTCGGACAACATCGAAAAGTGGGAAAGCAGCGCGTTGACGGCGTCTGACCGGCGTGTGCTGATCACGCAATGGGTTGGGGCAGCCATGGCAATTCTCGACAGCCGCGAGGAATGCCGGTTTCGCCTTTTCGAAAAGTGTGGCATGGCGATGACAGTGAACGGTTCTGGCGATGACATAATCACGTTGGAGGATTTGGACAATACAAGCCGTACACCTTCAAGGGCGATGAGGACTCCAGCGACGACGAGGAACCTTCAGAGGCTGGCAACGAAAGGAGCGAGGGAGGGAATGGCCAGAGGGATCGGAGAGAAGGGGGGCGACAGCGGGGAGGGCATGGACGACGGCGATTCCACCGACGAAGACGATGATGGCAAGTTGGATGTTGTGTCTTGCACCCCTCAGCCTTGTTATTATTGTTGTTGTTGCTGCTGCTGTTGCTGCTGTTGTTGTTGTTTCCACGGATGAAGCAGTAGTGTGTAGCGATGAAAAGCAGTATTAATACGACGGTTGCACTTCTTACTGCGATTCGCATTGCCCCTCTTTGCAGACACAGCCCGCGGCCAGGTTGACGAGCTGAGCATTGTGGACGAGGATGACAGCATGGGCCCGGACGATGAGATTCGAGGCATGGAGATTCCGGACGGTTTTCGCGTTCAAGCGTCTAAACCTGCTGCTCTTGACAGTTCGTTGCTGCAGCGTGGAGTACTCATTAAGCTGAGCATGGGATGGTTTGGTGGGCTGATCACTCGGCAGTCTCAGGAGCGTACCCGCCACCTCTACGACTACCGTGTGCATTTCGAGCTAGACCAACGTACGCGCAGCATGAAGCTGCCGTTGGACAAGTACAGTGGAGATCCGGATGCGGTGGTAGGGTCGTGGGCTTTGCTTGAGGGTAGCACCGTCGAGCAGGGAGGAGGTCCGGCCATCGAAGAGCAGGGCGTTGGTAGAGCGATAGGCGTTAGTAGAGCGGGCAGGACAATCGCCAAATGTGACCCTTGTGGACCACTAAACGGTTCAATGTTGCCCATGATGCGTCATTGTTGTTGGCGATACTGTAACGCGTCTGTAGTTCTACCCTACCTACGATGGTGATCGCGGAAACTAGGTGCGTTGGATCCAGAGGTGACTTTTGAACGAAGGTTCTTTATGAAACACGCTGCTCTCAGTAGGTTGCATCCACCGAGACTAAAACCGGTGTCCTCTGCATGGGGCCCTCGGCGTAGAAATAAGAACAAGAACCCCGTTTATCATAGGTGATGCCTGCTCGAAATAAGAACTTTGAACATTAGAACAGGTGCTCAACTTGAGGCAGCCAATAAGCATCGAGCCTCGGCCAAAATAAGCGGTTCTTAAGTGCGGGCGCCATCTGTAGTAGTAGTAGTCGGAATTTGGAAATTTGGAAAAAAAAATGAAGCAAAAATCGCTGTGGAACATTGACAAGGCTGCTGCACCCGAGTGCAAGTCTACAGCAAGCACAGCAGTGCGCTTACCCAATCATAGAGAGGGTTCCGAATGGGTATGGTCAGATCACAGCAGCACCAGCAAGCATGCCGATATGGCGCACCCATCATCAGTCTTGCATTTATTTTTTTTCCGTGAGGAGAACGAACACCATGCATGCTACAACACAATAATAAAAAATTCTATTGGGTGTGTTTGTTTAATTGATTAATTGTTTTTGGTTTGGGGAATGTTTTTGGTTTTGGGGAGAAGATATCATCTGTGTGTACGCACACACATGGAGTTGTTGTTGTTGAAGACGGACAGGGACAGGGGAGAGCGGCAATGATGAGCACAACAAGAGAAGAAATCTCCGTCTCTTTCGCCCACAGACAACAGTTAGTTCGCCGACAACAGCAGTTCGCCGGCATACATATACATACACAAAATCTTCGTGAAAATCTTGCACCTTACTACCGTCAACAAGTTTACAGCAGTATCGCCGTAGTATGCATACGCCCTGTATGCAGAGGAAAGATTTCTTGTCGCGGCATTCGTTGACTTGTACTTGTAAACACGCCGACTTGCACATCATGTCCGCAGAGTGCTAAACAACAGCAGCAGGAGGCAAATAATGTGGCCGGACCTAGATGTAAAATAGAAACACCCATGTTCATCATGAATATCCAGATCGCATAGTCCACAGCCTGATCCCGAAGACGGTGGCTGCAGAAGATACCGCCGCCGTTGCAATATCCCGCAGAATACATGTTCGTAGAACGTTGTGTGATGTTGTACAAGGTTGTATATAAAGTACTTGTATGTGCTTGGATTATGTGGAACTTGGATTCGCGACTAAAGTAAACAAACCCTCAATATACCTGCAGCGCCATGATCTCGTCCTGCATCGACTCGCAGTCGCTCATCATCTCGCGGATCGAATCCCGCTGCGCGTCCACCCCGTCCCCCTGTTTCGCCATCCCGACAAAGAGCAGAGAGACCACCGCCACGGGCTGCGCGGCACGGCTCGCTCCGCACAACAAAGCCCTGAGCCCTGCGCTGGGGGGCTCCGCAGACTAGAATCTACACGCACCACAGAGCAGGGCACCGCTGCGAGAGCGTGGTGCCAAATTGTCCGCCAGCGGGCCGCCAGACGGCATCTCCAACACAAACGCGGCTGGCGCCAGTAGCAGCAGCAGCACAGCTAGCTCTTCTTCTTGCTGCAGTTGATGAGATACCTGCAGGTCCCCTCGCGGTTTCATTTCTCCACCCCGTCCTTGTTCCGGCGCAGATCCTCGGGGGAGAGCTCAGCAGGCGCATCATCGGTTGGCCACCTTCCGCGTTCCATGCAGCGCCCAGGTACCAAGAAAACACATCCCAAAGCAACAGCAAAGAAAAAAGTTCAGCGTTAAATGGATGGGTCGATTGATTCATTTCGTGTAGTTCGGAGACGGGTTAGCCGACAATACCTAGAATACCCGTCGGAAGCCCACCCACCCTTCAGCTCGGCAGCTTGCTAGCGCCCTAGAGATCGCTCGTGCATGCTGGCTGCTGCTCTTGGAGAGGCGGAGGAGAGCGTGAAGGAGAGCCGGCGGTCTTCCGTCCTTTCTCCCCCAGTTTTTTTTACTCTTTCGACGGCAACAAGGGAGTTGAGGTTGAACACGCCGCCCTCTCTCTCTCTCTCTTCATTATAAAAAAAAAAAAAACACCGGCGGGGCGGGCAGGTCCCCGAACGACCGCAGGTCGAGGGTTTGCCGTGAAGTTCTACGACATCCTGTCGCAGGAGTCGAGCGACATCATCACCTGGACGGAATCGGGGCAGGCCTTCCAAGTCGTGGACTATACCCGTTTCTCGGAAGAAATTCTTCTCAAGGTATGTAGGTTGGGTTGTGGGGATGGTTGGTGTGGTGTCTTGTTGTGCTCTCTCTTGTTGGTATTTGTTGGAAGCAGCAGCAGCGGGAGCGTTTTCACACCCACGGCTTATTTCTCGTGTGCTCCCGCAACAACATTCCAAAACCACCATCGCTTGAGTCCAAAAAACACCGCGCAAAAAAAAGCTGTAGCAGCGGCTAGGTGTTCAAGTATGCCCCCCACGCATGCTCTGCTTAGTTAGCCTCTATGGTTGTTGATGATGCAGACCGGCCCCTGCTGATCTTTCTGCTGGACCCATACGGTTTTCTCTCTCCGTGCTGTGTCAGGCTGTGTGCAGTTTCTGATGCGTCCCCCGCGGCGCCGTGTTGCATTTTTTTTTTTTCCGGCTCCCGCCTACTCTCTGGGTGTATTTGTGTATTTGTCCGCCTACCGCACGCACAGGATAAGTTGCGTAAGATATCACACACACACATTTTCAAAGCTCGATTACTCCACTTTAAGGAGGATGCCGAAATTGAAGTAAACGACTTCGGAAAGCTCTGGACGAGGCCGTTCCAATGCCGCCATTTTCCATGCCGTCGCTGCTTTTCCTTCCGAGATATCGCGCTTCGAAAATACGTCCCGGGGTGTGTGATTTCTCATTCAACCTACCGGTAGATTCGGGTTGTTGCACTATAAGCAGGCAGTACATGCGTATGCATACCGTACGCCATGAATGAGTTTAAGACGTGGCTTGACATTATGCCTGCTGCTGCTAATAGTTGCGGTGTTGGCCCCTGTATGTCATTTGGGCGGCAATCTCATTGCGGGGATGCCCATCGGCGGCAGAGGCACCCGGATGTACAAGCATGCACGAACACACCTGAGTAATGTAGCCAGCTAGCGACACCGATTTTTGTGAGGTCTTGTCATATACCGTGGGGGTAAGTGCTGCCCTGGTTGGCGTAAACAGGACAAGTGACGGGTGAAAGCTAGTTGGTGCATGTACAGCAGTAAATCGTATGATAGATGTATTGCTGCTTGGGGCATACTTGGAGAAGCAAAAATAAACCTCTGCCCAGATCCGAAACCCAGGCGCCGATCGACAAGGTTAGCGAGCAGTGGCGGGGCAACTGAACTGGACCTGAACCCAAGCCCAACTACCTCAGTCAGCGGCCGTCCCCTCCTGGACTTGAAAATAGCTGAACTTTCAAAGTATTGCACAACGAAAGTATTCCGAGATATGAAACACCACAACAAATGTCAGTCGTTACATCGCAGTTGCGCCAAAGCTGTAGTGCTCCGAGCCCCCCCCCCCCCCGACACCGGCGTGAACTTTCTTCGTGTGGTATGTGTTAGATAGCATCCGACCGCGCCAACCGGTGTACCGAAAAAGTTGGTGCATGCATATGGTATGTGTTGTGTGTGTGCATGGCATGCATCCCAGCGGGTGGGTGGATATCGGCGGTTCCGTGCTGCGATCTAAAGATCTCTCCTACCCCCTGTTCCGAGAACATGCGTTTGCAGGGAGCAGTTTCTTTGGCGCTACGGTGCCTGCTGCCTGCCCGCAATCAGGTAGATGTGTGTAGACTTGGCCTTCGATAAGCCGAACCTCTCGCGAAAAAGCCCACATTTCCTCGCGGCGGCACCCGACGAGAGAGTTGTGACACCGATTCATGCGTACAACTCGGATGTATGCATATGTGTAGGTCTGCAGCGACGATTATGCAGGTGACGGGCGGTCCGTAAATACAGAAGTATTTCATGTGCGCGCAACAGGTAATTCGGCTGCCGCATGGCAGTGGCCGGCAGGGCCGGCGAGGAAGCGGAACGGCTGAACCCTTCTCTCGACAAGAATACAAAAAATAAAAAAAAGCCGAAGGAAAAGTGGAAAAACTGTAATTTTTTTTTTTATTTGCACTCCCTCCGTTGTTGCTCGTCCTCGCGGGAGTGTGTGACCCGGGGTGATGTTCCAAACAAGTCTGTGTGTGTGTTTTTTTTTTTTTTAGCATCGACCGCGCTACCCGGCTGACAAATGAAAAGACGTCGGCCTCGGTGCGGTTGAAAACACAAAAAAAAACAAAAAAAAACACTGGTACAAATGCCATGAGCTGGGGCCCCGTGAGGGGGTGGCATGGGGGAGGCTGTGTGTTCGTCCCATCTGTTCTGGCGCCGGTTTACAGGCCTTTCGGCGTACGTATGTACCTGATGTATCAGCCGGGGCCACACAAAAAAGGTCACACGGGAGCTTTAGAAAAAGAAACGTCACGGCAGAAACAACCCTTGGCCACCACAAGCACACACACGTGCTCTCGCTCGCCCCCGGGGTAAACACGGCGAAGCGAGTATATACTGAAAACAGGAACCAACACGCTCGTCCGCTTCCTGCTTTCTGATTGGCCAACGGTTTATTTCTGCCGCATCTCACAAAACGCAGATTTCCCTTACTTCGTCAGTCAACCTTTCGCTTTTCATTTTTTTTGTTGTGTTTTTTTGCCCCACCTCCCCCCCTGCGGTATTCGCCTTGATTTTTTTTCCCGCTAAGGGTTAAGCCATCCCTTTCCCTCGTCGACTGTGAAGCTGAAGTTTGTTTTACTCACGACCTAGATCGCTTTCAACTGCAGGTTGCTGGAAACCTGGAAACCACAGTGTATTGCCGCAAGGAAGATCCCAAGACTGACGTCAGAATGGAGACACACACAACAGAGCGTAAGGAGAAGTCGGATAGAAAGCGACGCTCAGCACAGTAGAGTCGGAGAGATGGCACCCCCGTGTTAGCGTTTTTGTATAGCGTATTTCTCCACAACCAGGGGGTACCAGTGCCGAAAAGGGTAGTTTTGGAACCATCTCGTCGAGGGCTTTCCTGAGAGGTATCGGTTGGGTGTTCGCACCCTTCTAGTTGTGGAGAAATGCGCTGTACCAAAACGCTAACCCTGGGGTGCCATCTCTCCGACTCTTAGGGTACTCGGGGGAAGCAGATGGTGCGGCAGCATTGTTGGTTTTGAGTATTTCGTCCTTGTGTGCACACTTCAGCAGGAGGCCAACTCTCACCCTGCCAATAGCACTGCTGTGCGGCTAGAAGGCGTGTTCGCGTCATTCATCCCGCTGCAAAGACCGACGACGTGTTTTTATTGCGGGCGCGGTCGATGCTCCGGCAGTGTCGAGGTCTAACAGTCGTGGTTCCGGTTTTGCGGTCCACAGCAGTGTCACAACATACATACTACAAACGCTATTGAGGGCATCGCCGCTAAACCGGCTTGACAGCAGCTGTGTACCATTATGGTAGTTTGACTACCGAGGTGCATCTGTGCCACGAGATTTTGGAACCGCTATGCAGGGCATCCCGCTAGACAGGGAACCGCTTAACCGGGGCCACGACTACTGCTGTAATTGAAGAAGCACGCAACACACACGGGGTCCCAGATGATGAGCGTTCGATTCGCTCGCTGTTTTCGGCCGCACTGAGTCTGAAGTCCCCTCATGGTGCGCCGGTTGTAACTCGGTCAATGTTTTTAGAAAGTAAACATAACCTCACAGAAAGCCTACCCGTTCAATTTATAACCTCAGTCGACAGGGATGTTGTTGTTACTGTCTCGACATTTAAAAAAAAAAGATGCCGACTAAAGAAACACACGCAAACAAGAGGCCAATCATCACGGCCGTTGGGTCGCCGTTGATCGATTGAGAGAACCGAGATTGCCACCTATTTGTGGATGTGAGCAACGCGACTAAAGGCGTATGTTTCCTCGCGGGAGTTGGTGATCCTGCTGGTCGCCTCCGGTTACTTGTTTCTAGAAGCTTCTAAATACCAGACATGTTGTACCGAGAGAGGCGGAGAGATCCCCCCCCCCCCGTGTAGACCGATTTTGAAAGCTCGATTGCCCCACAACGAACATTTTGCCAACGCCAGCAAAGGGGGTTTGAAAGTCATGTCGTCTAGGGCTTCAGGTAGACGTAGCGGGCTCTTTCCGTAACCCCTTGGTTGTGGAGCAATCGAGCTTTGAAAGTCGGTCTAGCGGAAAGTGCCATCTCTCCGCCTCGTACGGAAATACCACGGTACGGTATACGGTACGGTACAGACAATATTG